ACTGTAGCGATTTTTTAAATTTTTTAACAAAATTTTTTTTAGGTGTTAAATATTAACTTCCCTCCCTAATTTTTTTTCCCTTTATCCAAAAATTGTGACCTATATTACTGTATCAAAATTAGGATTACATTTTTGTCAACCCGGAAGCCAAGTTGCTTTCCACCCAGAAGCCAACTTCGCCTTTTTCACTTCATTTGGTCATCTTTGCCTCCATGTCCAATATCTACAAATGAAAAATAACAAAATAACTCAAACAAATAATATAAACGTATAATCACACCAAAATGATATAAAATACCAAAACATTGTAAAGAGTATAATAAAATGTACTTAAATTAACTAATAAAATGTACTTTAAAATACGTAAAATAAACCCTTATCAGTATCCGTTAACCCAACATTGACCAGAAGGCTTAAATTTTACAGTACCAAATATTCATCCCAAATATTCAAAAAAAAAGTGTCATATTATACAATTGAGAGCAAGTTCGGGCCGTGGAAATCAAGCGTGGCAACCATATACTACTCATTTCGGTGAAGGTACATGTGATCAGCCATTGCATTTCGTAATTCCTTCCAATCATGGAGTGCTTCTGGAGTGACGTGTAATTGTGGCATTTGAGCTCCCTCGGTACCTCCGCCATCCATATTAACTTCATCCGGTAAGTAGACGTCGTATGGCTGCATCTCTCTAATGAAATTGTGTAATACGCAGCACGCCACTACAATGTTCCTCTGTGCCTCAATGGGATAGTTTTTCATAGGACCATCCAGAATTTTGAACCTCATTTTCCATACCCCAAACGTCCTCTCTATTATATTCCGAACCGAAGAATGGGCGATTAAATAATCCTTTCTGTGCCGTCTGTGATCTTCCTCCTGGTCCACTCTTAAAAGGGGCCATGAATCCTGGCATGTGTCGTACGCTGCATCAACTGCATAATATTTTCCAGCCGGTGGGGTTGGAAATGCTGCATCCGGATTGGAAATAGCATCCAATAAGACACGACTATCATGGGCACTCCCTTCCCAACCAGCTCTGACATAAACGAATCTCATATCGTGGTCACATGTGGCTAAAACATTTTGTGAAAGCGTGCCTTTTCTGTTACGAAAGGCATCCTGTTCCCCCCTTGGCACGCTTGCCGAGACATGTGTTCCATCAATAGCCCCAATGCAATCCTACATATTGAATACGTGATAAATTAAACTTGCATTTCGAAACTTATTAGTTTTAAGATGCGGGCATCTACCTTAAACCAGGGATAAAACCTTCTATTATTCCGAATCCGAGGATGAGTAGCATCCGTATCCTATGTCGGATAGCAATAGGTGCTAATCGACTAAAGCTTGGCACAGCGGCGCACGTGTCGATGAATGGTCTCAGTGGAATGCTGAAATCGCTCACCTAACACTCTTTGTGTCAAATCATGGCTCAGCCCATATAAAGCAATTGCCACTCCTTCCTCTAAAGTCACTTTATCACAGGGCCCTCAATAATGTATTCACCTTCACGCAATATCCGGCAGAGTTGAATGAATGTGGGCACATTCATGCGCATGTTGTTAAGCATCCTGATGCACTTTCCCCCAACAAGTCGTCAACCCAACCCTGACCTGTGAAAGGCATGTATGGACTAACTGCCTTGTCCTTGGAACCTGATGTGTTTGAAAGTGCCACGATAGTATTAATACAGCAGTTGCGGCTTGTCTTGCATCATCTGGATCATCCAAATTCACTCCAAAATTTGGCGGAGCCCTAGCCATTTACTCTGTTTGGGCAAAACACCTGCACCTTGATAACAAGTGATACATAAGCACCAAATGAGGAACAAGCTAGGAATTTGATCATTAGAGAACCAACTCTTATATTAAAGAAAGACTCCTATTTATTATTCGCCAACTCGAAAAGTCAAATATTAAAGAAATGGTGAAACATTATGGTAAGTTTTAAAATGAATGAAACAACCAAAGTGCAAATTCGTTTCCCAACAGGGAAAACCAGCATCCATCAATCACAAATACAAATCTAGAGTCATTAAAGCATGCAAAGAAAGCCCTTCCAACTAGTGCTTAACCCCCCTAGGCACATGCAGGCCTCAATCATCTAGTTGGCCCCCCCAATCGTCAATGCATACAACCTGCTTCCTAGCCTCACTCGGCTGAGTCAAAAACATCATCCGATGATCTACGGAATCAGCCAACTTAACAGCTGCTTTTACAGCTACTTTATCTGGCAAGCCTGTAATTGCGTCCAAGGCTGCACGTGCCTTTGCCATTGAGTACAGGTCATCATCCACGTAAATCGGCACAGGAGGAGCTGTAGTAGCAGCAGGTGGGGGAGGTGGGGCATCTACACTCTGGGACGTGCTCCGATCGGAAGCAAACGTCGCATCCATCCAAGATATGGCATTATTGTATGAGGTGCGACTTAGACCAGGCGGGAGGTCGCCGTCTTTGGCGGATGAAGATTCTGGAGTCTTCCTTTTCCCTTTGCCTTTGCCTTTTGAATGTTGGGCATCCGATTTCCCAGTTGACTGCACAGGAGGCGTCATTTCATCAGTCAGGTCCACGTGCTCCGTACCCTGGAGGTTGATATTGGAGAAAGCTTGACCTTGCCTCGCTCTTATCTCGTCATTGATGTCAACTGGTGGTTGGTTTGAGTCCCTTGCGTATCGGCCTTGGGCATCCATTTTGTCAAACACCTCCGACAATATGTAGAAGACACGGCAATCTTTGTTGTGGTAAGTCTCAAAAGATGGATTCTCCTACACATTTAAAGCCAAAATTAACACAGAGGATATATCTAAAATTTTTTATACTTTATAAGCTTATGTGATAGAAAAGAAAAAATTAAATGGAATACCTTAATCACATCTTGCCATTTGATTTCATCCATGGTTACAGTCTGGAGGAGGGGATCCCATCGGCCCCAGTCACCCTCATTCGCATGCGATTGTATTCTTGAGTCTGATGGCGTAAAGCATAATACTTCGCCTTGATTTGAGAAATATCAAAGTGGCATCCCTTTTTGGCAAATTTATCAACAATTGCCGGGAACACCTCACTCTTTAAGTTGCCCTTGTTAATTCTATTAGCCCGTTTTAATTCAACAAGTACTCCGCAAATTCAACCTTTCGCTCCATTGGAAATTGGGCTCGACCTTGCCTCGATGAACCAACCTTACCGGCCATTGGTTTTTTACGCTTTATGTAGGACAAATAAGGATTAGCGAAAATTGACTATTACAGACGCTAAACAGAAATTGAATAGCATCTTAGCCCCAAAACAGATATATGGCAAAATATTAAAGTAAATCCTTGAATCATATGCAAATAATACCAATTTCCAACCACGGCAGCCATGAAAACGGGACATACAAAATAGTTAATTCAATATATTAGTGAAAGGGTTGTGAAAAGAGACGAATTCAATAATACCTTGAAGTAATTGGTGATGCAAAGCTGTAAATCGTTCTCTCCACACTCGGACCAAGCAGTCGTAACAGAAACAGGAAGTTTGAGTTTTCCGACTGTGAATTAAAGTGAAAATTAGTCCTTACAATATCTACCAGAAAAATACATGCAAGTGAAAGTCAAAATACCCCAAAACAAACCTCTAGAAATGGATCTAGTGCGCGGCGGCATAAACCTGTTAACAATGTAAGAATGAATGTATGCCTATATCTCAAATTAATTAGAATGCAGCAAAATTACCAACCTCTATATAGAACAGAAAAATACGTGCAAGGAATAAATGAAAAACCATCCACTTTACTAAGCAAACAGTAGAATTTGAACTAATTCCGCTAACCCCCTATTTCACCTAAATCATGAAGGCATGAAAACTTTACTACTACTCATGAATTAATTTGTCAAAGCCTCAATAAGCACACAATTTAAGTGAAAAGTCTTTAGAAAGGAATCCTTCTAGTTTGGGTTGCAAACCCAAGAAACATAAATAATTATAGTAAATAATAAATAAATTAAACAAGACACTGAGAAATAAATGATTTCTAGTTTGGGCGAGTGTTTAGAAGTTATACCAGTCACCACATTGCAAATAAATGATACTAGTAAAAACTAAAGGATGTAAGTTGAAGGATACTCAAGTGAGTATGCAAATTTCATAGGTAGATAGGAACGTGGTGGCTTGTATAGTTCACCAACTCATCTTCAAATTGGCATCCCTATCTACCCTTTGCGTTCTTATTACAGAGCAAGAAATAATTGATTGATTTAGGTATAATAAATAGTTAGGTAAAATAAATAGTTTGCCTAATCAACGCCCTCGCTTAATTGGGACCTCAACCCTTCTATTTTTTTCAAAGTAAATAGAAGGAGCGACAACAAGCAGGAGTATACACTACTGATGGAAAGTGTGTATCAAGCGCTTCGAAACTAATTAGAAAAATCAGAACTCTATTAAAAATTTGTTTTTCTTAGTTATTAGTCTCCAAGAAATTTCAATCATAAAAAATGAATTTTTTTTATTCAGTACTATTAGGACCTCGTTAATGTACCTAAATTCTATTAAATTTACACACAAACAATTAAATTCATTATCCATTGGCAATCTCATTATTCAAGTTCATTCGTCTAAAAAATCATTGTCCAAGGCTTGTCTTTATCAAATGGAAGCTTGTCAAACTAATCTTGAAAAAGAAAAACTATTTCCAAAATCTCACAATTGCCGGGAAATTCACCAATCAAGCAAAAGAAACGCTTTCAACAACAGCAAAGACAGCAAGAATAACAAGAACAAGTAACCCAAGGGACTCCTCAGCTGAACCTCATATCCCACCAAGACCAATCAAAGCCTTTAAAACTCCTTCAAATACTTGCTCAATCTTGGCCCGGAGCAACAGAGCAACACAGAGCAATCAATTATGTGAAAAACCTTTAATCAACGCAGCACCCAAATTAATTCTCACAGACCAATGTTAAAGAATTAATTAACACATTACCCAAATTAATCAACACAAAGCTTTACCCTCTGTCCGAACTTGAGACCAAGTGTAACATTCCACTGGAGGGCAATTAACTCAGCCTTTCTCCAAATGTTGGCTTATTTAATACCAAAACAATAAAGAATCAATTAGCACAGCACGCCATACAAAGTGACTAATCAACAAAAAAAAATCCCAAAAATTGCTTCTGGAATGCCACGGTTTCAGAGGCAAAAAATCGATGCGTGCCTTCCTCAAATCTAAGCTACTGGCTGAAGGAAACTTACCTAAATGGAAGCACAGCAGAATTGTGGCAAACGGACTGGCACAGCCATTTGTCGGAGGAGGAGCAGTTGCGGGGGAGGGGATGAATTTGTTCTTCGCCGAACGTCGAGCCCTAGCTTCTCACGCGTCTACACTGTTGCAATACAGAGCTGCAGCACCAACCCTCACGCCTCACTCCAAGCTCCGATCACTCCACGTCCTATGGCCGAATTGCTCAGGTGAGCCCGCTAACTCGCTGTATAGGGCACCGCTTCCGTGAGCTCAAAATCGAGGAAAGTCTTTGCGTATAGGAGGGTACCGCTTCTGTCGGGCAAAGTGTTTTGGGGTTTCAAACAAAAGATGCGGCAAAACGACGTCGTTTTGCTGAAAGTTTAACAAGGGAGTGAAAAAGTTTTTTGGAAGTTTTTTGGGTTCCTGTAGCAAAAGTTGTATAAAAATTAGTAGCAAACAACTTGCTTAAAAACTTGGGTTCCAAACACCCCCATAGTTTTGGAAGTGAAAAAGTACATTTAAATCAAAGGACATGAGTAAAATATTTGTAAAACTTTTGCTCGCTCATAAAACTTTGAAATCTCCATTTGAGTCTAAGAAACGAAGAAAACGTATTTCTATTAGTCGTAAATTTCATTTTTCCAAGGGTACCAATTTCGGCCAGATTCTAACTTATATATCTCTAATAAAGAAGACTTGAATACCTTAGATAATTCAAGTTAGTTTCATCCTCAACCCTTACTCAAGTCGCGAGTACATCTACCTAACCCTCGAGCGCAAATTTGGGCAACACGCCCTTTGTATTTACCTATTTTCCACCTATTTATGGCTTCATTCTTTTCCTCAATTAGTCCCAAAATCACACGCAAAGAGTCTCATTGCAATAGCTGTTCAATAGGTTCAACGTCATACAATTACAAAACCATGCTACAGAAATGACCGGAAATAAGGTTTAAGGCAAAAAGAAAAAAAACAGGTTCGACGTCTCTTAGTGTATCGGTCACAATTGAAGCTATGCTTATCAGATTGGGGTGAGATTTATACCATTTCGAAGCTAAGACAAAGGGATACAACTTTGATGAAGACCACTCAATCCAGTTCATAGTGTATCCAAGTCAAACTCATCGTTTACAGAACCAGAATTTCACCATCGGGCTGGTTAACAGCACTGCGTTCAACTGACAATAACTCAGGCTACAAAAGTCCGATTGAGGTATTTTTAGAGGCTTTGGAAAGCTAAAAGATAGCACTACAACTTTTGTTTTTTGGCCAAATACTAATTCAATACAGATCAAGGTGAAACAAATGCGGCCAGAATGGTGAAATGTCAAATATCCAATAATTTCAAAACAAATGTTTTGCCAATTAACCCTTCATTTCCACTCAAATATAGTTTGCACAACCAAATAAACTTAACTAGTTCAATTAAACGCTTACAAATGCTTTTAAAATTACTCGACGGAAACGAGAAGGTACAAAAATCATTTATAAATCATTTTTCTTAACTCGCACGTACTAGGGTTGTCACGCCTTTTCGTAGTAT